TTGATCATGCCCAAGTAGGCAATGAATCTCTGCCCTTGAAGGTTTTCAATCACCCAGCTACACAAAAACAAGGGTGACAATCCTGCTTCAAGCAGGAGGTTATATGAAATAAAGTTCCTTCCAACCATCACTTCTATGACTCAACGTGCCTCAGTAACATTCAAATCATACACAATAACTAATTAACAAGTCTATTTTGTCAACAGGAAAAAAAACCCCTACCTCTTCTAATTAGAGTAACTGCACCTCTAACAAAGCTCTCTCTATAATTAATCACATAGAGTATGGGTCTTCCAAAAAGCAATTTAAGCATAAGGTGAAAGTGGTATCCATGGCTAGACAACCTTATTTCCCACACCCTGCAGTCCCCTGAGCCCACAGTAGTGCTTTAGACACTTCACTACTGAGCTGGACACCATATGCTCTATCCACATCAGATCCCTCTATATCAAAGCACAGTGGAGTAATGTTAACACTAACCCCAACTTCCTAAGCCCCCCTTCTCCTAAAGGGCATTAAGCTTACACAGCTACCAGTCCTGCTTTTCCATCCTCAGTTCATGGAGCCACATAGTGCTGGAAGAGCTGTTTAGGCTGTAAAGCAATTAATAAGCTAGAAGACTAGCCCAGCTGATTAATAGTTTCCCATTCACCCTACAACCACATTAAAACCTTGCAAGTAGGGCTGTGAAAGAAGGCCTTTTGACAGCAACATCAAGTTAAAGCATTTATTGAAACACAATATATTTGCTACAGCACTAAGACGTGGTTGGCAGCCTGCAGGTGCTTCAGTTTCCTTACTTTTGGGGTAAAAGCCACTGGTTAAAGCATAACGGCTACTGTGAGTTTGAGACTACACTTCAGATTATACTGGATCTGCCAGACCTAGCTTTCCCATTTATCATGAAAAAAAGTCTGCTCTACATCAAATTCTCTCTGCATCAACAGAAGACATGGACCATGGATAGTATTTCCATTTCTGCTCTAAATTTGAGCAGCAAGGTCCCACACTGTACTCAACACTGGGATTGTCATAAGAATGTGACTGAATTCATCAACAGCAGCATTTCCATGCTAGCACAATAGATTCACTTTTTTCTTTTGTATCTCCTGAAGATTAAAATTACATTCATCTCTTCCGATTTGAAGACTGAGAAGGCGATTGGTCTAAATAAAGATGTCTTTACTACATGGGTACTGCACTTCATGTCTCAGCATTTCAGTTGCACAGGCAGTGAGATAAGCTACCACTGACTAAAGAAAAGCCAATCTCAGCATTTCAGTCGCACAGGCAGTGAGATAAGCTACCACTGACTGTCACAAGCCCACAGCTGAACCAGCACAGAACAACTTCCCACTCTTTCTTACTTTTCCATTTTCAAATTCTGAATATTTATCCCCTTACCCTTTTCTTTCTACTTCAGAAAGCAAGATACTTGCAGCTTCAGAACCAGAGCACTTCCACACATAACTTGGTTATTGTCAAGTGACACAAAAAAATCACCTCAAAATACACATATCCTGATACGTGTGCCTGACATTTGAGGAAGTTGTAGCAAAAATCAGCTGAAGTAAAGAGAACACAGAGCAAAAGCCTACCAATGACAGTCAGTGGGGCACACACCAAACCAGAAACCAGTTCTTCTGTCAGGTACAACGCGGAATAAAGCTGTCTATGTTCTGTATCTTCCGCTTCAAATTAGGTAACTAATAATACAAGATGGTATTTTCAAGTGTCATTTTATCAAAAATGCAACTGCACTGTGGAGTCCTATGTCAATCTACAAACAAGAATCTTGAACAAAAGCTTTTGAAGTGGAAGATCTTTGACACTGGAGAAAAGCAGCAGTCCTCCGTAACCAAGGCACAGAATGTCCTGCCTTGTCAACAGCATGTACAATGACGTATAAAACCCTGCATGAACACAAGGTAAGCAATTACACAGCCATTTGGACTCGAGAAATCCTCAGCCCTGCCCCGATTAGATACGCTGCAAATGTTGAAGAAAAAAGGAGAGCTGATGCAAACACAGTTTTCTGCTTACTTGTTCCCTAACCTTCTTTCCTCTGAAGCCACAAGGAAGCAAGAGAGCAGTGGGGAAGGGACAGAACTGCCTCCTCACAGGTACACTACCAATATTCTGTACAAGAGGCCAGAAGCTTTTTCTGCCTTTGAAAAAAGGACTATAATAAGTTATTGCATGCAAGTTATGGAAGGCCCAGCACACAGCAGAGCTGGCTTTTGGTGTGGGTTTTTTTTCTTTGTTTGTTTCAGGCTTTGATTCTTTGTTTGGTTTGTTTGTTTGTTGTGTTTTGGCTTTTTTTTTTTTTAAATAAAGGCTAATGAACTGTAAGTTGCCTTGGAAAATAAGAATTTGCTTTAAACCTTGAGCTAGCTTGGAAGAACAGCTGCCTGGCTGATCAGAGTGTGTATTACAAGTTATCCTGCAGATAACTATTAGAAAAGTATTATCACAGCAGCACACATTATTCTGGACTTTGCCTATCCTCATAACAGCAACTATTCTTGAACATATAAAGTAAGCATTACACCTACTGTGTATGATTTACTTATTTTCTAACATTCATCTCCACAACAAGGCTTCGTAAGATTCATACTTAGTTTCATACTCAAGACTTAGCTGTACTCTGGAGATGGTTATTATTTTGGGTAAGTGTGCTGACTAGATAAGATGCTCATTCCACTCAGAAATCTGGTAAATTGCTCAAGAGCAAGAATTACATAGTGTTGAAATACTGCAGAATCCAAGGCAAGCTTGTGGAGCCTACAAACCACATGTATTCTGGTGACAGAGGTATCTTAAGCTGGACACAGAACAGAAATAATACAAAGTAGAAGGTTTTGCTTCTGTTCTGTTCTAAAGTGCATTTTCATCTAATCTCCAAACGATTATGTACTTTTCTTTAGTTAACTGATGTGCTTACAGACTATCCTGCTTCTGTTTGCTCACATACTTGTGTTTAGAACCACAAGGAACGAGATTTACCCAAGAAGGCTTTTCTGCCTCCTCCTAGTTGGATGTCACTAGGACTACCTGCCAGCCAGTCTCCACTGAGACATTTAAAATGGATGCTTCCAAGACAGAAGATGGGTTGGCTACAGAAGCTGACCAGGACAACAACTACAGATGAAGCCTGAGTGCACACAATGGGTTGCTGTAAAAGTCATTGAGCTGCTTGGGATTAACAAAAAATGCAGAAGCACTTGGTACCACATAGGAAGCATTACTCTGCAATATTTAAGGCAACTCCAGAACTTCCATTATATCTCACAGCATAGGAGCTCGGAGATGAACCAAAGAGAAGAAAACATTTTCCACATTTAAACTGGTACTGGCACAGGAAGCCACAAGACATAAACAAGAATCAAGGGGCTGGACTTTTTGTTCAGGAACAATCAAGAACAGCCCAAGTTCTCTTAAAGTCAGTCCTATTAAAGGTACTTAAACATTCAGTGTCAAGCTTAGCACAGGAAATGGGCAGTGGAGCCTAACAGGGTAGAGGGGATGTTCATACCTTTAACATCTATAAACACCTCTAAGTTTGTTTTTCCTGAATCACCTGGTATCAGCTACTCTTAGAAAGAGGACATGAGACAGACAGGCCATGGGAGTGACAGGTAGAGGAAAGTGGTGTCATTTGTGAATTAATGACTACCATGAAGTATGTGGGGGACAGAGACCACTATCTATACAGATATAGCATTTCGCATCACCCAATTAAGTATTTTCCATTCATCTTTCAACTGACATTACAGGTTTTGCTCCCACACAGACCTCTACAGGATACAGTATTAACCTTATACCAACATAAACATCACTTTAAAAAGAAAGTCTGTCTCAAAAGCCTAGGAACCGTGCAATCCCTGCTTTATAACACATTCAGTTATTTTTTTGACTCACCATCTAGATCCTACTAGCACTGTTTATACTCCACACTTAAGCTAATCAACACGCTGTGATGGTTATAGCAAGCGCCGCTTAAAATCCCATTGAATATTAAATACCGCAGGAGACAGACTAAACAGAGTTTCCAGTTTTACTCGGAAACTCGACTGTCCCCTCGTTTTTATCAAACGCTGAAAAGTGTTTCCCAATGAGAGCTTCCCCCACGCCGAGATCTCAGGTCTGCCTCTCTAATCAACAACACCCAACGTTTGTTCCAAAACATCCCTACCGAGCCAGGCCCCACCAACGCACAACCTCCCCCCTCTCCCCCGCCTGCGGGAGGAAGAAGGGGGGTCGGGTCACCGGCTGAGCCCCAGGAGGCCCCCCCGGAGCCGGGGTGGTGGTGGGGGGGGGAACCACCGATCAGCCGAGCTCGGGGCGGACAGCGGGAGAGACACCGGCACAGCGCCGGGAATGTCACAACCTGGGGTCTGTGACAGGAGCAGCCGTCTAAAACACACCCGATTCCCGCCGCAAGCGCCGGCGGCCGTTCCCTGATATTAAACACCCGCTTCCCCCGCGCCCCCGACCCGCCTCGGCCCAATCAACCACCCGCACCGACCCGCCCTCACCACAGGGCCAACCGTTACCGGGGGCACAGCGGGCCCAGCCCTCACCTCAGCCCCACCCGGGACAGGCGGCGGCCTCCGGGCGCGGCTCCGGGCCCCGCTTTGCCCCGCACCCCCCCTCAGCCCAGCGCGGCCGCTGACGGCGCTCCCGAGCAGGACACCCCCCCCACACACCAC